AACACATCTTAGTAAAACCAATACCTTCTCAGCTTCGCATCGAAGCTAAAATTGACTTAAATTTTAAAATTAAAAAAAAAAATTTTTGTAATTAATTCATCATTTAACCTTATATAATTTTAGTAACTTATTGATACTAATAGAAGTATTTAAATTAATTTCAAAACAATTGAGATTCTATTTTTGACTATAATTTATGGTGTAAAGGTGTTAAAATAGTTTTCTTTTTGTTTACTTAAATCATTAAAATTAAAAAAAAAAAATGCTTTTTCTATTTCAATTGTACACAATAGTTTACTTTAATAATGTATTTACATATAAAAATATCAACCAGTACAGTTTTAAATAATTACCTATGTTAAATAATAATAAATACAGAAATGTCTGGTTTTTTTAAAAAAAATTCTAGTTTTCTAGTAGGTAACTTATAAAGGATCATCAGGGACGTATCAAGGGAGGCAGCAGTGCCTACGCCTCGGGCAAAATTTTTGTTAAAAATTGTGATATCTACTATGTTTTGAGTACAACTTCATTACACAAGTACAAGTACAACTCATAATTAAATTTTTGTATATTGCCGACAAAGCAATATACATAAATACATAAATACATAAATATACATTTCTCTACTTATAAAAATTTTTGAACTGGATATTTTTATCAATGTAAAATAAATGATCTACGTATATAATTAATAGAAAATATTATCGTTGTCATGCTGCCCTCCTAATGCTCATCTATAAATCTATAATTATAATGTAAGTATTTCTTTTTCTGAGTATTATGTCATATAACTAATGTAGTGTTTCAATCATAAAATAATATTATTCATTTGATGATGTATCATGCAAATACTAACATTCCTCTATATTTCGGATATTTATATGTTTTTTCTAATTTTGTTATGAATAAATTATGAAAAATTATAAAAAAATTAGGACCAGTATGTTGCATAATCTTCTCTCTATGTCTGCATTGTCACCGCCATCTTAGGGTTTTTTAGTTATAAGCTCTATGGCGCTTGCGAGCCAATAGTATCTAGAGAGGTTTTTACTTTGATGGTCAATTTCACATTGTAAAAAACTCGATGAGAGAATTTTTTTTTTTTATTTTAGTTCACATTAAAAGCTTAAATATGATATAGATTTAAAAAACGAAATATTTTATTAATTGAAACCAAATTATTAACAATCATTTCTTTTTATTCACATAACGAAAAGTATACATTTACAAGTATAAGGAAAATTATTCAAAAGCAAAATAAAATAAAACACGTATGTATATGACAATAATTTTAGATAAAAACAAAAAAATAGTTATTATAGAAAAAAAAATCAGAAAAAAAAGATTAAACAGAATAAAACAAATATATAATTAGAAAAATATAAATATAGATTAAACACTGAGAGTTAAAATAGAGCATCTGAAAATCAAGTATTGTCTCTTCTGTCATTCATTTCTACCACATTTTTTCCGCTCACCATGTTACCAAAGCTTGTACAGAAAAAATTACAGAATTTTACTCTTGTTTATAACTTACTATTATTAAAAATGTATAAAAAAAAATACCCTCTTTAACAGCATTATTCTTTTTTTGTTCTATTTTCTCAATACTTGTGAAAGGTGTAGGTTCTGGCTCATCAAATACTTCATCTAATACACTTTTTATACTAATTCTTTTAAAAACTTGTGTTCTTCCACTTCTATTGAATATTCTACTAGGTGCAACTGTTACGAGATCTCCAGCTAAATCAGTTTCTGTAGATTTGCCAATTTTAATTGACTTATTATTATCATCATCGGTTAATAATACTGTTGAACCACAATAAGTACAACTTTTATAATGTTTTCGGCAAAGAGAATCATCACCCTCTGGGTCTAAAAACAATAAAAAATTTTTTAAAACAAAAAACTTCTTATTAACTTAAATATTAAAATAATTTTAGTAAACTAACCAATAGGATGTGTTCTTTTCTGTCTTGATGACTGAAGAAATTTACTTGAACTATAAGAACTCAAAATTTCATTATTGCGAGTTTTAGGTTTTTTATATGAATGATGACTATTAANTATAGGTTTTTTATATGAATGATAATTATAACATCAGTATCACTCTGTCTCTTATTTCTAAAATGAAAACAGAATACATATTAATATTTAATCACACATATTTATTAATTAGGAACTCAAAAATTGCTCATTATTGCCAAAATCTGCTTCCAAATTAGATCTATTCACAATTCATACAGATTAATATTCTACTAAAAATATAAAAATAACAACTGTAAAAATCAAAAAATNATTAAAAATATAAAAAAAAAAAACTGTAAAAATCAAAAAATTATTTTTAATGAATAATAGACATTTTAGAGGTATATTTTTGTACCTCTTTTTTAAGTTTTATAAACAACTATTTTATTCATTAAAAATAAAAATCATAGCAATAGTAACTTTAAAATTTTGATAAATCTAATAAATAAATGTTTATGAATCATTAAAAATCTATTTTTCTTGGTTAAAAATAAGACAACTTATTTTATAATTTTATGTTACTAAATATATGTTAAAATAGTTATTAAATACTGAACTCTATTAAAATATTAAAATTTCATATAGTTAAAATGTTAATTATTGTTATTTTATAAACCCTTGCCTATAGCTAAAAATTATATTATGCAAAACACTTTCTTAAATTAAAGAATTATTTTGGTAATTTTTTAATAAAAATAAATATTTTGTAATTTTTTTTTTCATAGTTATACACTTTACCTGATGATGTTGTGTAGTATCACATTTTAATACATGTAATAATTAATACTTATATTTTATAAAATATATCACCAAATCAGTGTTCCCCTGTGGATCAGATGAGTAATAAAATAATACCCTTACACAAGATTTTATTACAAATTCCATAAAACGCCCACGTAAAAGAAGACGACTACAAAGTAAATGGTTAGAAGAAGACAAAATACATTTATATCATAATACCAACCAGTTCACAAATCCCCCACCTCTCCGGCCCTCTTCGCCGAGATTAACTATAATATATATAAATTAACTCAAATTGTATTTTTCTAAAAAGATAACATCATTGAAATTGTAATATTAATCTTATAAACCCAAGAAAGAAAACCCGATTGCGACATTATCTAAAGAAAAACAATATCTTAAAAATACGTTTAAATACAAATTCAGAACTAGAACCAAGAAAAACAAAAATATATAGCAAAACAGCTATACCGGCTCAACAAATCTAGTAGAACTATAATATAATAGTTTAAATTTCACCAAAATCACGGCTACGACAGAACAATCAACGGGAACTCAAATTCAAATTAAATCCCATCTTTATTTTTATATAAATATATTTAAAATTACCCTCTTTACACTAAATATATGTTTAATCATAAATTAACTCAAATTGTATTTTTCTAAAAAGATAACATCATTGAAATTGTAATATTAATCTTATAAACATAAAAAAATTTTTTTTTTCATTAAAATAAATGACAAAATAAAATAAAAAGTTTATTGTAAATGATTCCAATTAAATGTTGTCAATTAAAAAACCGAATCACCCAACAAATTTACTAAAAAAATCTCATAATTTAATCTTAAGTATATCATTTTATATAATAAATTAATCAAAAATTCATATATCTATTTTGTATTATTAACATACATGACAACATTTATTTATTATAACTATATTTTATACTATTATATCGTTATATCACTTGAATACATTAATATACACAATTATTAATTTTAAACATTTGTCTTTATAAGTTCTGTAATAGGTTCACATGAAGACACGTGAAAAAAAAGTACGTGGTGCATATTGTAGTATCACATTTTAATACATGTAATAATTAATACTTATATTTAATAAAATATATCACCAAATCAGTGTTCCCGCGTGGATAAGAAGAGTAATAAAATAATACACAAGATTTAACCACCCTATTACGAATTCCATAAAACGCCCACGTAAAAGATTCTATCACATTAACCAATCAAATACAGCAAAAAATTTTCAAGAATCTCACCAGAGATCGCTAAACCAGTTTTGCGGGCTATAAAAAGGCCATTTTTCCCAAATTTCGGGCTTCGCTTCTCTTACAGTGGTTATTTTACTGCATGATTCTTTCGCGGTTTCTGAATATTCCTCTAACAGACACTGGGTCGCCTTGCCATTCTATCTCTGCATCTCTACGGCTCTCTGCAACTCTCAACCAAAATACACAAAGTGAATGTGCGTGAGTTTATGTTTCATTCTTAGTTACAATTCTATATAAAATCTGCACTATCTTTACCCTCTTTCGTAATTACTGAAAATATTATACATCTTATTTTCGGTCGAATACTTTTGGTGATATAAATATTCTAACACATATAAAATATTGGTGCTTATTTATTTCTTTTTATCTACATTTATATATATATAAGCATACTAAAAGGTTACATGACTAGATGCCATTGTGTTATATTACTTATTGAAGCGCCACATCCTGGCTGGACAGAGTACTAGCACAATAATATCATAGTTAATACTCCAACTAATTATAAGCGTTCTCTAAAGTGTCTCTCCACTTATCGACTAACTAGTCTGATCTCTGCCACAGTGCGGGCAATCGGAGTGTAGGACACTAGTATAATCTATTGTGCAAAGAACCGAAATTGAGCTGGCATCTACCCTAGATCACTCTTTGGACGACTGAAAAGACGTAGTCCACTTGGAAATAGTTTGTTGCACAGGACAGTTTTGTTATTAGAATTTCTTTATTTGCTTTATAAATTATTAAATAATAAATATATTAAGGTAAAACACCATATACAAGGTTAAAGACTATACTACATAAATATACAAAAGGGTTTTACAAAATACAGAGTTATAATAAATTTAGATTTCACCTTGGGTAGAATTGATATACAGGATGATTTTTTTATCATAACCCACTCAATTACTTGCAGAATAATTATAATTTAAATATTTTTTTTTATTATTATCTTTAGTTACACATTATTCTTGAATTTTTAACTATGTAATACTTTTTAAGTTCATCCCTGATGCCTTGTAAGGGAGTCAACTTTGTTTTTTTAAATGGTAACGCATATTTTTAATTTAATAAAATGTTTGAGTTTTTAATTTAATAGTAAATGGAATTTGAATTTTTAATATAACTTAATTCGTTTATTAGATATAATCATTTAAAGTTTCAAATTATTGAGTTAATATACAGATATAATACAAAAAGAGATTACAAATACAGGTAGCTAATTGGTTTTTTATGACATTGCTGTCACAGTCACGGATTATTTATTATCAATTATAACTATCAATAGATATACTTTTTGTATTTTCAGTTAGTGTATTTATAAACTCACAACTATGTACCTTACTATCATTGATAATAACAATGCTGTGTACCTGATAATATCGATGTCATAAAAAATCAATTAGCTACCTGCATTTGTAATCCCTTGTGTATTATACCTTAATATTAACTCAAAAATTTGAAACTTTAAATGATTATATCTAAACGAATTAAGTTATATTAAAAATTCAAATTCCATTTACTATTAAATTAAAAACTCAAACATTTTATTAAATTAAAAATATGTGCTACCATTTAAAAAAACAAAGTTGACCCCCTTCCAAGGCATAAGGGATGAACTTAAAAAGTATTACATAGTTAAAAATTCAAGAATAATGTGTAACTAAAGATAATAAAAAAAAAAATGTTTAAATTATTATTCTGCAAGTAATTGAGTGGTTTATGATAAAAAAATCACTCTGTATATCTTAAATTAAAGCGTATGTAATATACAATAATTTAGAAAAAAAAATTTGACTTCTGGATTTGTCTTCATGTGAAAATGACTATCTTATATAAAAATATGCTATTTTTGTGTTAAAATTTTGGGTTTTGAATTTTATTAAAGTTATTGTTGCTTTTGAAATAATATACCAATTTCTTAAGATTAAACACTGTCTACAGATTTGTATAGAAGCGTTTCTTATGATAGTGATTTTAATTACTGTCAGATATCATCTATACTACGTCCATACTGTTCCGCGACCACACTGTGCTACCGTTTTTTTGTGGTATATCCGTTGTCTTTCCATAATAAACTAAGAAAGGTCTATCACAGCAGATCTCGGTACAATGGTAAGGCTATATACACTATGGTTGCCCGGTGCTTTAGAGGTTCCCTTATGCAGTGTTGGGAAAGTTCCTTTTTAAATATAACTCGTTCCGTTCCCTGTTAATTTTCTAAAATATGAACTCGTTCCACTCTTCGTTCCTTTTATGTAACCAAGTTATTTAAAAAATTGTTTTTATTATGAGTTATTAGATTATATGGCATATTTAAATCAAAAGGCATAAATATATATGTTTAATAATGTTTTATAACCAGTGTTGGGAAAGTTCCTTTTTAAATGGAACTCGTTCCGTTCCCCGTTCATTTTCTAAAATATGAACTCGTTCCAGATCCTAGTTCTTTATATTAAGAAGGAACTTGTTCCAGATCCAGTTCCTCCAAAATAAGAACTCGTTCCACTCTTCGTTCCTTTTATGTAACCAAGTTATTTAAAAAATTGTGGCAATGAGATCATGATAACGGTCATCAATGATTTTCATCAGCAGTCGAATACAAAACAAATTTGTAGTATTCCTTATCTAAAAGTATTCGAAAATTATATTTATAAGCAGGTAGTAAATGCTAACGACTTGTGTCAACGCGACCAATGTCTATTGTCTACATATAAGTTAGAAATAATAAATCAGAAAACCCAAAACCTTTAACATAAATTAGTTAACAAGAAACGACGATAATATTCGGTGCATTATTTAATGTATGTACACATATATTAAATATTTACTGTATACCTACATGTGATAATAACTCTATTTATAGTCAATTGATTCATTTAAACAGCTTACAATCTCGGCTGGGTATATAGGGGACTTCCATTGTCAAAAGTCCACTAAAAATACCTTAATATTTTAATGTCTAGATACGAAGAAAACTACACTAAAACATGTTTATAAACATTTTT